AATAAGAATTAAGAAAGGCTGACTTGTTTTAAGCAGTAAAATTTATTCATACAAATTTACTGAAAATTTATTCTAAAAAAAAAAAAAAAAGAAAGGCTGACTTGTTTTAAGCAGTAAAATTTATTCATACAAATTTACTGAAAATTTATTCTCCAAAAGCCAACTTAATAAATGATTCATTTGCTAAGACTCCATTCTCTGAAAGCCGGTTAGCCATATGGGAAGATTCTCAATGAATATTCATGCAATTTATTTTTTTTAAAAAACATGTCACGAAGTTTATAATATTTAATTGGATAAGATGTATTTAATAGCTCTTCAATATTTGAAAAGTTTTTCTAGTTGGGTTTTATTTTGCCATTTAAGGAATGTTCAGTTTATCTCATTGGTGAAGAAATTAGTAAGCATGTCAATAAACTAAGCATGTATTGTATAAAGAATTATAATACTTTATTAGGACTTACAAAACCAGGTGAAACTAAAATATTGTAGAAGACAATAATGTTAAGGACATTACTGTAGTAGTCAGAATTAAACCATTTTTGGACCTTTGGTTGTTTGGTACGAGGAACTAGATATTAATGAATTTTGCTGTGGTTAAGTCATATACGTATTTTGGTAAGTTTATGGGTATTTACTAAATGAATAGAATTTACCATTTCTAAACCATTAGAGATGAAAAGTGGGAATTAATCAAGTTCAATAATAGAATAGAAGCTGGGAAAGAAGAAAATAAGCAGCATAGAAAAAGAACAGTAAACAGAAAGCATAAAATAAGTTAGTAGAATTACATATAATTTTATTGTTATTAATTATAATACTTGTAAAATAGGCCAGATCTTGCCAGTTAAAATATAGATCGTAAAGTTTGAATTTTAAAAATTATATGCTTCTTACAAAAACCCTTCTAAAATGTGTGATTATTTTCAGCCAGACTTATTTATGGTGATATTCTAGACCCTGAACTTATCTTTACTTGTGCCATATGCAAAATCTCAGTCTCAAGGGTATATTTACTGCTTTATATACTCACTTCCCTTTTTATCATGGCTAGACATAATGGTTAACCTCCCTGAATGCTCCTTGTATACATCCTCTTGTCCCACTCATATCCACTGGCCAAACCTCCAACTTATCCCTTTCCTTTATGTCAGAAGATGTCCTTGATTTTTATTCCTGAGAACCTCAAAGCCATTGGAAAACAGTTTCCTCATTCTCTCAATATCTGATCTCCCAACCTACTACATCTATATCCATGTACCCTGCCTTCAGTTCATTTAGCGTGAAGGAACTGTCTGGGCTCCTCTCCTTTACTTTGGCACTGAGCCCCACTCTCTCTTGTCTATCCAAACATTTTGCTTTTGCAGTTGCCTCTTGTCTCTTCTGCATCATTAATTCTTCTTCATTGACTGGATCATTCCCTTCAGCATATATTCATGTTGAAATATCTCTTATCTAACACCTACCTTCCCATCTCTCCCCCACCCCCAATCTCATATCTGCCTTTAAGGTACCATCTGATTTATCTGTTCCCTTTTATAGCAAAATTCCTCAAAAGATATGCCTATACATTCTGTCTTTACTTCCTTATTCTTGTTTTCCTTTACTCAAAGTATTTTTCTCTCTAAAAAATGTATTAAAACTCTCACCAAGTAAAAATCCTTCATCTTTCTAAATCCACATATCCATTTTAATTTTACATATTCCTTGACGTATCAGCAGCATTTGATGCAACTGGCTGCATCCTTCTTCAGAGACCCCGCACTCTCAAGTTTCTTCTCCAACCTCAGTGGCCACTTTTTTCTTAGTCTCCTCGTTCAGCTCCCCAGTTATTCCTGTCTTCCTGATTGCTCAAGTCACAAACCTGAAAATTAGTTCTCATTCTCCTTTTCTTACATCCTATATCTATTTCAACATGTTTTTTGATTCTACTTTCAAAATATCCCTAAACTTAGTCCCTTTTCCCTACCTCCACTCTGTTGCCTTCTCTACTAGTTTATTTTTATCATCACAGAAATACACTGGAGTACTTCCATCTTAAAACCCTTCCCTTGATCCAATATTCCTCCCCACCTCAATATTTCTCCCAACATCTTACTAACCTAATTAACTGCTTCATTTCACAGGAGTCTTGGAAAAGTTTTCTCTGCTTTCTCTCTTAAAATGTTATCCATTTTGTTTTTAACCTGCTTTTCTCAATTTTCTATCACCAAGACTCTACTGAAACTGCTTTGTGTCAAATCATCTGTGACCTCCAAGTTGCTGAATACACTGTCATTTCTCCATCATCACCCTCATCATCATCATCTTAATTTCTTGGTATGTGAAGCAGAATTAACCATTCCTTTCTTAAGGGAACCTTTTTGTTTCTTGGATCGCATGACACCATATTCTTCTGATGTTCCTCTTACCTATTGAATGCTGCTCTCTCTCAGTAATTTTTGCTAATCTCTCTTCTGCTCAATCTTAAAAGGTTGGAAATATCTATGGCTGTGTCTTACACCTTCTTAAAAAAAAAATCTACACACCTTTCTGAGGCAATCTCATTGGATCTCGTGACTTCAGATACCATCTATCTGATGACTTCAAAATTGATACCTCCAGGCATAGCCTTTTCCCTGAGCTCTACATTCATTCATTCATTCATTCATTTAACAAATATTGAACAGCTGCTAAAGGGTTAGGCACCGTTTCATGCTTTGGAAATATAGTAGTGAACAAGATAGATGAGGTGCCTGCCTACTTTTTTGAAGACATTAAACAAATGAATTCAACAATTAGATATTGATAAGTGATACATACAGGATTAAAATAAGAGTGATATTATGTAGAATACCTTTGGGTACTTTAGGTTAATTAAAGACTATATTGTGATAGAGGGGACATTTGAGCTTAAAATGGAAAAATAAGAAGGAAGTGCACTTGTTAATTAATTGGAGAATTTTAGCAAAGTGAACAGTACAAAGATTCCAAGATGAAAATCAGCTTGGCATGTTAGTGATATAGAAAAATACCAACTCAGTTAGAAAATTCTGGACTAAGCAGGAGTAATACAAGATAAAGTCAAAGATACAGATGGGGTCAGATAATGATGATTTTCTAAATAAAGTGACATTTGTGCATGCATTTTATTTTAGGTATGATGAGACTAGATTTTTTTTTGGTAAGAGAGTGATCTAATATGGTTTGATTTTTAAAGATTGCTTTGTACAATTGTTTAGTAGTTTGTTTCAGACTAACTGAATACAACTGGAAAACTGTGTGTGTATGTGTTTGAAGGTATCACAGAGCTATCAAGATTGTGACAATTTTGTGGGGCCTACATTCAGATTTAAAGGGAAATACAGTATTTTGAGAATTAAATGACAGAATTTTCTAAAACTGATGAAAGATATGAAGGCAAAGGTTTAAAAGAATATTGTAAACTCCAAGCTAGAGATATAAAAGAAAACCAAAGCAAGACACAGGATAATAAAGCTGCTGAACATTTGAGGCAATGAGGAAATCTTAAGAGCAGCCAGAGTAACACACGTATTACCTTCAAAGGAGCAACAATAAGATTGATATCTGTCTTTTTCAAAAGAAACAATGAGAGCTAAAAGACAATGAAATGTTACAGACATCTTTCTGAAGAAAAATAAGTTCTATACTAACAGTAAACCACCGAAAAGAAAACATGCAAAGCTATTTTCAAGCAAACAAAAACAAAGCTAATCGCCAGAGACCTGCCTTAAAGAAAATATTGAAGGGTGATCCTACTTGGAAGAGCAGAGAAGCAAGAAGAATAAGAACAACAGAAAGAGCATATGTGTGGAAAAATATAGCTAGATATTGATTGCATAAAATAATAATATCTTTCAGGATTTAAGATAAATAGAATTAAAATACATAACAATCCCAGATAAGGTAGTGACAAAATGGAGTTCAAGTATCGTAGGACACTTGTATTATTTGGGTAGATGTTAAAGAATTTTTTAAAATAATATATTCTAACAAATCAAGGGTGCATGCTATAATTTTTAGGGCAAGCATGAAAATAATAATAAAAGAGGATATAATTATTAAGCTTTAGTATAAAGACAATTAACTGGCAAATATTTACTTAATCCAAAAAAGTCAAGAATAGAAAAAAAAAAACAGAACAGGTGAAATAGTAGAAACCAAGTAGTAGTATGGTAGATGTAAACCAAGTAGTTCCATAATAACACTGAATATAAATGAAGTAAATACTCTAGTTAACAGACAAGACTATCAGACTGGAATGAAAAAAAAAC